TAATATAGGAGACTTCTGGTTGGTTTTTGGTGCATGATTTTGTAGAACGTCTTTTTCGATTGAAATCAATAGCTCAGTGTTTTTCAACCCTGGCCCTCAAAGCACACTGCCCTGTATGTTTTAGATGGTTCCCTGCTTCAACACAGCTGATTTCAATTGATAACTGATTAACAGGCTTGTTAAACTGCAGTCATTGGAATCAGGTGTGTGTCAAAGCAGGGAGACCTGTAAAACGTGTGGGGCAGTGTGCCTTGAGGACCAGGGTTGAAAAACACTGAGCTATTGATTTCAATCGAAAAAGACGTTCTACAAAATCATGCACCAAAAACCAACCAGAAGTCTCCTATATTATTACTTTAATAAAGATTACAATTTTTCCCTAGAGTGTTGTCAAATTTATTCTGACATTACTGAAAGATCAGTTTACTCCTACAAATGTGTTTAGAATAATTAGCAATTGTTTTGGTGTTGCCTGGCTGTAACTTTTTTACAATTAGAGGCAGCAGTTTTTTTTTTTTTTTTTTTTTGTTGAACTGCTGCCTGTAAATGTAGTTTCATTATTTGTAGATTTTACATCTTTAAATCAAGAAATTTCAACCCTATTTGACAAAGATTAGAAAATCTAAGTCGGGCATAAAAAATACCCAATGACTTTCTTCCAAGGAGCTGGACTCCTGCCTGTCCAGAGTGAAATGTGTTTATTTGGGAATCTCATCTCGTACTTTTAAATGGGATTTGRTGGTCCAATCAGTGAGTTATTAAGAAAAACTATGTCTTAGTAGATTTGTTTTACCTCTTTATAACTAACAGGTTAGAGAGCTGAAGTTAAAAAATGTAACTATGAAATACCAGCTGTCCTCACCAATATGTACAACTTGACTGTTTTTAAAAGTCTAATTTGGTCCTTTTTTGTTTGTCTATAAGTAAAAATGTGAGGTAAGAATGTCAAGAATCACAGAAAGCTGCAATCTCAAAAGAACAAGTGATAAAATAAAAATAAAACCATTTTTTGTTCATTTTRGCTTAAAACTGCATTATTGGAAAACAAAATGTGGCTAAATCTCAATCTGAGCAGAATATGTTCACTGCCTAAAATAATAAAGTCCCAATCTGTTGAGAAGTAACTTTACTCAAGTTTAAATGAACAAGAAAACCATATTCAGAAACATTTACAGAATAAGTTATTGTAAGAAACAAAGATTAAATGTAATGGTTTACAAAAACACAGCAGCCAAGTAAAAAGTTTGAGGCTTTCACGTTCCAGCGCCGGCCTGTCTTTAAATTCAAAAGAACTGCAGTTTTAATACACATTTTGACCATAAGTGCTGCTGGGGACTAGTTGGCYGCGCCTCCATCTTCAGATCCAGGTTCACGCTGCTGCAGCTGCAGAGACAGAAATTCATCTGTATTAGTCTCACAGAAATAAAAAGGTATGTAAGGAGTGGTTAGATTAACAGAAAACCTTATTTAATGAAAGAAATCTTGCAATGTTGCATGAGATTATGAGTAATAAAAGTTACATTTGACCAAAACTTCACCCCATCTCATTTAAGATGAACTTATTTTAATATTCAGGCATAAAAGCAAGGGCCTTTTTTTATTTAAAATACAATTAAAAAGCACAACAAAACAACTACCCTTGCTTTGAGGTCTTTGTTCTCCTCCATCAGACGTGCACACTTCTGCCTCAGATCCATCACTTCCTGCTGCAGGGCCTCCGAGTCCGAAATCTCCTCCAGAGCGCCCAGATGTTTCTTAACATATCTGAGGACATGGTTAAAGAATCAAAGAATTCAGAAATAAACCCAAACCCCACAACTAAAAAAAAAAAAAAAAAAAAATGTTGAAGTAGTCAGGATGTGTATTGTGATGTGAAGGATACTCTAAAGCATCAGTGGGCTTCTCTTGTTGTTCGTACAGAGACACAAAAACTGAAAACAGAAAGAAAGATGAGTTTCAAACAGAACTGAGCAACAAAGTTCTAACATATGTCCTTGGTTCAAATGATTTTAAATATAATTATCTAATATAAATGCTAGACAAAATTACTGCATAATTTAGTGTATTTGATAAAAGTAAAAAATAAAAGTGGTTTGATTTTTTTCAAGTCTGACCTGCTTGTTTTGGGTATTTTATAGCTTTAATCAGAGGTGGGGAAAAGTACTAAAATTACATATTCAAGTAAAAGTAAAGTTACTCTGTTAAAAATTTACTCAAGGACAAGTAAAAGTGTTTTTTTTTTTACTCTGTAAGAAATGGGCTTTCAAATGTACCCAGGTAAAAATACTAGAAGTAAAACATACTCATGTAAAAGTACAGATTGGAATAAAAGTATAAGTTTAATACAGAGTTAATTATGTAACTTGCTGCTTTCCAACCCTTGTTTTAACGCACCTGATTTTAATTAGGCAATTTAATTAAAATCAGCTGTGTTAACGCAGGGACGCTTAAAAACGCGTCGATTTTGTTTGTTTCAGTCTGCAAATCTTGTAAAAATAAAATAAAAGTGTTACCACTTGTGAGACTGTCAACAACTCCAGTTTTCTCTAAATATCTCCGAAACTGCTCTCTCTTGGAGTCTGAAGCCTGCAAAAATACAACAATATTTACATTTCMTAAAGGGACCAACATTAATTTTCTAGAACTATATAGGGGTTTTTATACAAAACATTCTACAAACAATAGCTGTAATTATCAAGTCGATATGTTCATATGAGTTAATGCAAACTTRTTCTCAGCTGGTCAAATTAACAGCATTTGGTTTGCGCGTAAGATACAGTTTTGTTTATTACAACAAGCTCAAAGTGACAACAAATACACTTACTCTATAATGCGCCATAATGTCTCCAGGTGGGTAGCTGATAGTATAACTAACTAGTATGTATTTTAAGAAACCGCTGTCTACTTAAAGGGAAAAAACCAAGTCAAGAACGTTAACTTTCGTTTTAAGTCCTCAACCTTACTACTCCAAGAACCCCTCGCTTCAGCAAACAGTGASGGGCGGGGTTAACTCCACTGGTCTGCTGGACAGGGTGCTGCCTTCAGGTGCTTCACGTAAAACCTAAAACTGCTCATCTCTACAAGCGGCTTTCAGTTCTGGCGTCCATGACTTGCCTAATATTAAAAAAAGTAAAAGTAATATATATTGTCTTTAGAACTTTAATTCATAATAAATCGTGCATGGCCATTAATGTCTTTGTTTTTTTAGTTTATGGAAAATGTTTCCGACATTACTGAGCAAACGCGAAAGCCACAAGTGTGCTATGGTGTTTCTCCATCGCCATCTACCGGTAATATCTCACAATAACCGTGTTAAAAACTCTTTTTATTTTTTATAAATTATAAATATAAATATATATCAAAAATGCACAAATGTGCAAACAACTCAATGCAGCTTCAAACTCTTGTCTGTTGTTGTTTCTGAACTGACTGCGCGCAGAAACCCAGTCATGTGACAGCGAGACCCGCGCCACAGATTGACGGTGCGAACAGCCAATCGTTATTCGCGATGTAATCCGACGCAACCAATCGGAGCTAAGAGGCGGGACGAAGAGTGAGAGGAAATCCTAGAGAAATGTGTGGGATCTCGCGCTGTGTTTCCAAGTAGCTCGGGCGATATTGACGAACTATTTTCATTGTGATACGGTATTTTTTTGTCGTTGGTGGTCCCACCGTCTGGCGCAAACACGGGTGCGGTGGGTGGAAGTTGAAAGGGAAGGGGGGTAACTGGGGAGGGGGGGGTGGTAAGCGACCATCGTTTAGGTCAAAATGTCGATTCAGTACGAGGAACAGCTGCCTGACAGCTACGGGGTGACGGACTCCTTCCCCAAAGATTTCGGTTACGGAGAGGATGAGGAGGCCGACATCGAGGAAAGCCCGACCGCATCCGACAGCAAACCGAGAATCCTGCTCATGGGTTTGAGGCGAAGCGGCAAATCATCGATACAGAAGGTAGGCAGAGCCTTTTAAACTAGCTTTCAGGAGGCCTCCTCCTCCTTCTTCTCCCATTTCTTCTTCTTCTTCTTCTTGTCAAAATGTCCGTGATCAGTTTATCAATCAAATCAGTCAAAATGTACAGGAGAACTGGGGTCTAATGATCTGCTGCTGTTAATGATTGATCAGCTGGACAGAGAGCCTCAATGTAACTAAACATGTGACTGTTTTTCAACATGCCTAACACATGATTAGCAAGTGACCACACCTTTTAACACAGCAACACAACTCAGCACCTGCAGTTTATTCATACATCCTCGTTATTATTTTTGTTAACCCACTGATCCTTACTTTTGTGCCATGCACATGCACTGTCCCAAGTTTCTAAATAAGTTTTAGGTCCACCAGTGTACAGCTGATCCACAATCATGTAAACCAGTGGTTCCCAAACTTTTTATGTTCTGACCCACAAAATATCCATGGCAAAAACTTGTGACCCCAAATATTACTGGTCTGAGTACACGAACTTCGTTAATAACCCTAAAAATACAGTTTTTTTGACAATCTAAACAGCTTGTACACAAATATAAATACTTATTTATACTTATTTTCTGTTTTTGTAATAGTTATAGGGAAAATATTACATCAGCAATTGTTTTATTATCCTTTAAATTGATTTCTGGAGATTATCCAAGGTGCTTCATGACCCATAATTGGGTCCCAAGCCCAACTTGGGGAACCAAAGTTCAGTGGTTCCCAAACTTTTCAGATTTTGACCCACAAAATAACAGTAGCAGAGACCTGTGCCCCCAGCTGTTGTTGGATGATAAACATTTGTATTAAGTCAACTAAACACGGGCACAGTAACTATATTTTTATACTACATTTATCCATTTTAAATACACTAACCTCTCTCCTTTGTAACAACTAAGGCAAAAATGTAATTAGTTCCGAAAGTCTTTTCAGGACCCCACCTTGATTTTTCGGGACCCCACTTTGGGTCCCGACCCCAACTTTGGGAAACACTGATTTAATGGATTTGATCCACTCAGAGTAAACTGTTTTATAT